AATGGTCCTGGTCACTCTCGAGGGTCCTTTGTAGAAATGTGAGGGGGCTGGGCTTACGTCTCAGGAAAGACAAGACTGTCATGCATGGTTTGGGAAGTGAGGGACAAGGTCAATGGTTGATGGTTGACGTCGTTAGTGCATGGCATTTAAACTGTCTTTGCATTATTCTGTGCAGGTCTGTTTTGTGCGTGATTTGGATTGAACCGGACCTGGTCTGTTGAAGAGTCTTTGACACACAACACTTCTGAAAGTGGGAAGGGTTCTCGGCGGTAATACTTTCATATTCATCATATGTCCAACTTAAACTTCTATACTATTCTGATGTTCAGCGAAGTCATAACTTGTTCAGAAAGATAGGACGTCCTTTGGTAGGGAGATGGTTTGATTGATAATTATCAAGAGAATATTACATTACGCAGTATCGAAAATAGACGGCCTTTTATAAAGTTCGACCTGAATATCTAATGGGTAAGTTCTAGGCGTCTTACCGCGCGTACCCCGTTTTATGCTACAGCGATCGAGCAAACGCCCTCGACCGACCTACCTCTACAAAGGCATGTAAGAGCCTTCGCATGTGGGCCGGTAACTCAGCAGGGATACGCCTACCTGAGTGTGGTGACAGCCCCTCGGGTAGAGGTAAGTTGTACCTTGCGGCTCCCCGACCTGTCGTGGGTTGTCGTGAGAGGTATAGCCCGCGCACACGGTTGGAGTGGTGATTGGTTCTTTTAAAGGAATATATCCTACGTGACACGACCGTGAGGTTCAACGCTCCCAGAAAGGTGCGGGACCACCGCTCGCGACAGGTGTCGCCGTTGCCGGGATCTCGCTTCCTATCCGAGGTCCTCAGTGAACAAACTCGGGTAAGGCAAGATCCTGGCAAAATGACAATTATCGAAGTCAAAATTGACTAAGAATCTAAGCGGAATAAGGTAACTCGAGTTGTTAGTCACAAGTAGCGAACAAATCAGTGCGTAGGGTATAGGTCAATTGATACCTAGGTACACTTACCCGACTTATAGTAAAAGTTAAAGAGTATGGCACCCAAAGGTCGTGGGACCGGTTTTAGTAGAGGAAGAGGCGGCAGACAAGGGAAGGCACCTGAAAGGCCTATAGATTTGACTAAGAAATGGGAAGATTGGGGAGAAGATGATGAAGGGTCAGAAGAGAAGGAGGAAGGATTGAGGGCGAGAAGGTATCGGGAGGAAAGGCGCATGCATACTCCAAACTCTGATGAAATGGCTTATTATTCATATAGGTACGCAAGGCGTTACGAAGAACCTCCACCATGCTTCGAGCTGTCTAGTCGCCCGCATCATAGCCCTTACCCACTGTCTCAGGAATGACAGTTGACCGTCCTTCCCCAGCCTCACCAACAAGGACACCAAGCAACACCGCACGGGTCTGACCCTCCTGTAGTCGCTCAGTCTGCGTCTCCTGATAGGAGGATGTGCATATCACTCTTGATGTTTATATTATGTTAAATAGAGATCTGCGGGTTGATATCCTACTTATTGTATAAAAAAATTATATAAGGGTCTAAAAGGTTGGGTAAGGTGGCGAAAAAAGATAGGGCGAGAAGCTAGGCTAAAATCAGCTAGCTAAGTGAAAGAAACATGGGCTGGATTGTGTTGAGTAATAGGTAGAATGTATCGACAAGAAAAGGATGGCGTCTGCCCGATATCAAATCGCGATCAGAGAACCCGCACTAATTAGGCGAGGCCTAATGATGAATCTACCAACTCGTCGTGAGGAAAATGAGGAGACAGGGTATTGTTGGGGAATGTCTATGAGGAAACAAACCTTCATCTGGATTGNCCTAATGATGAATCTACCAACTCGTCGTGAGGAAAATGAGGAGACAGGGTATTGTTGGGGAATGTCTATGAGGAAACAAACCTTCATCTGGATTGAGAGGCGAGAACTGTATGGTAGAGAAGGTTACTCTGTATATCGCATTAGAGAACTTGCGGGCTAGTCTCGTACMTGATATATAAAAGGATCATCTAARGAAGGGGARTAAGATAGGGTGAAGACAAGGATTTTTCTCATCACTAACTTAAGGAGGGACGTAAGGAGAATCCATCTGAGTTGAATTAAGAAAAGGTAATTTGGACCATCAARATCTTTTCTGGAGTCAGACTGAGGGAAGCTAGAGAATAAAGGGGGGTATGCAAGAAAACTACGGGGAAAGGGTACCTATCTTTAAGTCAGGCTATTCTATAGTAAGGGCACCAAAAAATTAGTGGCTGGAAAAGTACACTAAATAAGATTGTCCTTTGGCTTACCCTTGTGACAGGTCTTCGGGATTCAATCAAGATGCCTTATGCAAAGCAAGTTTCCAAGGTCGAGGCACCAGTTAGGAATGATGATGGGTTATAAATGAAGCTGCCAAAAGGAAGAAGCCGAGCGGAGCTTTAATGAATCATGGTGGGGTTGCTCGTTATTAAGCAAGGCATTTTTGTGGGTAGAAACGAGTTGGAATATGAGAGAGGGATGACGTAGTGTGAGAGTCACCATCTACCTAGCTGCGAGTCTCTGGCATGATTATGAATCAAATTTCGATTAAGGGATGAAAAACTATTTGTTGTTACTCAACGGGATGGCAGAAGCAGGACTCAGAATTTGGGAGAGGGAAGGTCCATGGATAGACACGAGAGAAGTTTTAAAGGAAATCAAAATGCTTCCGGCCAAAGAGTTTACTTTTTCGGTCCGTTACGTTAGAACCACGCTCCCAGATTTTATGGTGAAAAAGTTGTTTTTTGGTCAAGAAAGGGTAGAGATGGCCGCGGAAGCAGCACTGAGAGTGCCTAATAGGGGGTATGATTTCTCCACCCCTCATATGATTTTCTGTCTATACCTAGAAATGGGCTCCGAACATGCCAGGAGTGATTTTAGCAACATATTGTCTATCGTAAACTCGTACAGTAGAGTTTATTTCATGGAAGAGCGATTCAGGTACTGGGAGAACTTGAAAGAGGAAGTGAGGTCAAGGATCTGCGTGGATGGTATTCCCATCATGTTTGGATTAGTTTATAACTTCTGGTCTGGGGACTGGGTGACGGTAGAGGAGATGGAAGAGGAAGAAAGAGGGTTTGTATTCTAAAGGATTATGGGGTAAGATGTTGAGGCATAAGTTGTAAGGAGAGAAAGGAGGTGAAGGAAGATGTTGCTTAAGAGAATTACTAAGGGATGAAGGGAGAAAAGTGGGATGAACAAGGGAAAAAGATGAGGAGGAAAAACAAAGGGGATGATTCGAACATGATTAAAAAAAAAAAAGGGGAGAAATTTTAACTATGATGAAACGGGGAATGACACGACTAGATAGGACTTATGCGTGAGTATTGTGTGTCTTTTTGTTTTTCTTCTGCACTTCACAGACCGCTAGGAAATCACTCAAGATGTCGTACGCCACTCAGGGAATTGGGATTGAACTRCCCATCCGTACCAGGCTGGGATTAAGGATGTCGTTGCCCCAGGGACTAAGCACGAGAGAAGAGGAAATCACCTCGTGGTGGGGTGCCCCGATTGGGCCAGAGGCTTTTGTATGGATAGAAGTTGGACACACCCCGGAACAAGAAAGTATAGTAGTTCGAGCGACCCTTTACCTCTCATCGGACTTATGGAGGATGCACGGGATATATTTGGCAATAGGACATAGTCAACCACTATCCAGGTATCTCCTGACTAGAGGAGCGATCCATGAGGACAAGATTCGAGAAGAAAGGTGGGGGGAATTCCGACCGATTATACCCATGATAGAAGCAAGATGGGCATCGGACTTAGTCTACCCCACCCACTACGTAAAGGCTACCCTGCTAGACTTCATCATTAATGAAATCTTTCACAGCCCTGCTAATGTAGAACAAACGGTCCGGGTTGCCATAGTCGTGCCTCTGGGGAGATGCGAGTTTCTTACACCCTAAGTTCTTTATTGCCTGTACTTAGAGATGGGGCCAGAATTGGTCGATAAAGATTTTGAGGAAGTCTTGTCCACGGTAGATGCGTTTGTTCGTGTCCACCGTATGGAGCCAAGACAAACTTATTGGAGAAAGCTTAAAGTCGAAATGAAGATCAGGGCATGCATCTTTGGTACCCCAATAATGTTCGGTATGGGGTATAATTCCTAGACGGGGGATTGGTTGTCTGCATAAGAGATTGGAAGGGTAGACCGGTAGGCGATCTGGAAGCGGAAAAGATAAAACCAAAACCGTTTTTGACATGTCAATCGTCTCATTAGAATGTAGGGGGTAGTAATTGGGGCTCACAAAATTAAGGGAAATTAGTGTATACTAGTTAATGTCAAGGGAAAGAGATGAAAGTAAAAGAGGAGGAATGTAATAAAGTTAGAACGATGGGCTGGACAAGGCTTAGATAGCACCTTGGGAAGGGTAAAATACCCAAGGCAAAAATCTAAAAAGATAAATAAGAAAAATCTGAGAAATAATCTCTAAAACCCGTCGTCTCTGTATGTGTATGACAAATTAACTAAGGGACTGTGGAAAGATGGAAGACGCCAATGGAGGACAGGGGTCCATTACGGCCGCAGAGATCGTGCGGCTACTGGAAAGTACGGCAATCAAAAGGTCGCAACTGCCAAAAATAGAGATATTCCATTTTCAAGGAGAGCGGGTATCTCACTGGTTATAACTTCTGGAACAGGTTTTCAATCGGTTAACACCGGCTGAGAAATTTGCTCAGCTACATGAATACGTATAGTGCGAATATCGCTCGGAGATCGAAAATATCGTCGCGGAAGCCCAGTGGGATTGGATCGAATTCAAGAAGGGGATGCAGCGAAAGTACAAGTTGGGTGATGGGTTGTTAACAATCGATCATCTGCACAACTTAAATAGGAATGATTTCACTACGATTGGAGTTTTCGCCACAACCTTTGAAAAAATGGCAGAGAGAGTCTCGAGGCTTTCCGAGGAGATGCAATGTGTCATTTTCTTGGGGAAATTCTCAGGATATGAGGCGATGGAGTTGACGCGGGGAGGCGCGCCAGGTAAAAAGAGCTCATGGGAGACGATAAAAAAAAATTTAGCATCAGGAGATTTGGACCAGGTGTTTCATCACCAAGTGAAGATGGAGAGAAAGAAAAGAAAGGAGGTGAGTGCAATTCACGGGACGTATTTAGCCTTAGGAGGGGTCTTGAGTAGTATGGCGGCTCAGCTCAAGGAGATGAAGGAGCAAATGGCGCTAGGGAAGGTATTGGCGGTCGGTCAAGCAACGAACAAAAGGAGATATGGAGAAGATGATGAAGGGGATAAGGAAGAAGAGGAAGAAGAGCCGGAACAGACCACCAAGGCTAAAGCAGCCCAGAAAAAGACTAAGAATCAACCAACAGGAAAACAAGAAACTGGCAAGGTGCAGAATCCGCAACAAGCTGGGACGTCAAAAGCACAGTTTCCCGCAGCCCAGCTCGCCCCATGGCCACTTGTGGCTCCTATGGGTGCGTGGCCCGGATTTTTTCCAGGAAGTCAGTGGCCGGTGTTTGGTCAAGTGAGTCTGTATCCAAATGTGCCCCAAGTATAAGGAACAGGTCAAGCGCAAGGAGGAGCAACAGGCGGAGAACAACCTCAGCAAGCGCAACAGGCACACGGTAATCAGAACCAAAATCAGTTCCAAGGACAAAAACACGGACAAGGGCAAAGTAGAGGTAGGAACGGAGGAAGAGGAAATGGTCAAGGAGGAAGAGGGAATGTCCAAGGTGGAAGARGATTTGGAGGAAGAGGACATGGCGGACAAGGAGGAGGCTGGGGCAATCAAGGAGGCCCTCAGTCAGGAAACTATAATCAGATGAACTTTAACCAAGTCGGTGAGGGGTATACCCAAGGATATGGTCAGGGATATGGTCAAGACTATAACCAAGGATATGGCCGAGGGTTTGGTAGGAATGATGGGCAGTAGAATGGTCAGGGATTCGGACGAGGTTGGGTAGATTATAGTGAATGTACTTGTACCCATTGTCAAATCAAAGGCCATACAATGAAGCGATGCCATGTTAGAAAGATGGACGAGCTGGATGGGGTAATTACGTCCAGCATGGATGGGGATGTGTACGATAAGCGGGCAATCTCATTGACCCAAAGATCCCTGAAGGTACGAGGAAGGAGGCACTCAGGGTTGCAAGGTTAGGACCCAGTGCCCCCGCCATGTTCCGAATATTGGAAGAAAATGAGGATTCGTTTATCAAAGTCGAAGATGTGACTGAACTGGGGAAACAATTAAAGAAATGACTAAGGATAGACTAGGAAGAGGAGGATGCCCCTTTGATTGAGCTTGAAGCAGGAGAAGGAGAAGCAAGTGGAGAGCCAATAAAAGACACAGTGGAAAGGATGGAGAACCTAATAACTAAGATAAGAAGGCTAAACACCAGAATGTTGGGAATATGTGAAGAAGTCAAAGTGATGGAGCTGAGAGCTCCGCACGTATTTACGATAAATCAAGGAAGTGGGGGAGAGAGACCCCGAGAACCAAATCCAAGGGCACTAAGGGCTAGCTTGGCTGCAGGATCTGAAGCGGCATACCAAGCCCTTAGAAATTTTGTGCCACATACCGCTCGCCGGGCAAAAGGAGGCAATACAACCAAGGAGCAGGAGCAGAGTCCACCTCCTCCCCCTAGGGAGCCCTCTATCGATATAGGCGAGGAAGAGGAAGATCAGGATGAGCAGCTGAGGGAAGAAGAGGATAAGAAGACTGAGCAGAGAGCCAAGAAGCGGAAGCAAGGAGGTAAGGAAAGTAAGGAGAAGGTCGGAGAAAAGTTCAAGAAAAAGTGAAAATATCAAACGTCTATCGAAGAAGGAGTAGACCTAGAGAATTTGGTGAATAAACTTCTTGACGAACATAACGAGCTGTTGAATTTGAAGGAGATTTTGGCCACTGCTCCAAAGCTCAGAGAGTTGGTCAAAGCGAAATTGGCAAGAAAAAAAGTGGCAACGGTAAGATTGGGGGATTTGATTCCCAAAGAGGCAAACTGGAACATAGCCGGGAGTAAAATGGATTGGAAGTCCGTAGGAACAGGTTCTATCAAAGTTAATATTAAAGGAAGAGCGTGCGTCGGAATGTTAGATACCGGAGCGGAAATGAATATTATAAACTTAGAGACGACGGAAAGATTGGTACTAGAAGTCGATAAAAGTGACTTCGGATACCTCAATGGGGCCAGTGGGAAGTTAGGTTGTACCGGTGTCGCCTCAAACGTCATCGTGGAAGTGAGGAGGATTAAGGTCTGTTCCTGCTTCTACGTCATGCCAAGTCTGGATCTTCCCATATTATTGGGAAGGTCCTTCCTGTCGAGGTCAGAAGCAGTCCTCATAAATAAACATGATGGAACTATGTACGCCATATTGTGCGACCCGGTGTGTGRGAATTTCGAGGTACTCACATGTGCAAACACAAGACCCCACTGTTCAAAGAACCGTCTYAATGCAGGGTCCTATACSYTTGAAGAATCTRAGGACAGGAGAAGGGAATTAGAGTGGGGATCAGGCGAGGAAGATGAGGAYGAAGAAGATGAGGGACTGGTCCTAAGCTTGGCTAATAKAGATCAAGCAWTGTGCATKRTCTCAGCCTAKRAGATGGCCGATCAAGAARCCAYCATGGCCTTGGMTGACAAATTGGGCGAGTATCCAGAAGKARGGAGAATGAAATTAGTGTATAGGYCACYCCCGCGAGAGGGAAAAAWRCAAGGAYCATATRCCMRTMMARSSG